GTGCAAGTCGCGCCCAGGTCAAACCTCATAATTGTGATTTCCATTACAATAGCGCATTGGATTGGGGGGGGGGGGTAATGTCTATCAACACGAATGTCGCACGTGCGTTGCGCGACGACCACCAACATTTAATTTGTCAAACATTGACACAACACAGGAAAAATAAACATCAAGTATTAGTATGATGATGATACGTAGAGTTACATTGAATAGTAATGATTCGATGAATCAATCACATAACAGAGAAAACCTGAAAAGCAGAAATAAAACACAATCCTATATTTAAAAAAAAAAAAACTGTTTCAATCAAAATAACAGCCAAGACATACCTACGCAGAACAAAAACCCACTTGCCTTGACACATCTAATTGTGCAAATTCACACCATGCTCACTCTCTGCCATTGGTATTTTGCCTTCCATTAAAATTGATACCCAAAAGCATATTTACTTCATGTTTTAATCTGACAATTTGAATGTACCCTGAAATCCTAGGGGCATGTGAAACAAGTATCACCAGTGGACTGCGTTTTAGATTCTGTTCGTGACTTAGCGCCCGCATGCGATGAAAATCAAATATCTTATTTTGGATCGGGATACCCCTTTCCCAGAGGCCATTGCGAAACTCAACAACTTCCTTCCTCGGGAATGAGTGATCCTTTGACCGAGTGCTCGGGAATCAGGGGCATATTTGTTGAAACTCCGTCTACTAGGAACACGCTAACGAGACTTGTTCGATTTGTAAAAACTCTCTTTTCATGACTGCTGTTCTGTGAAAGATATGATGCATTAGATGGCGTTATTGCCGTATCGAGCCGCTATGCAGTCAAAGTACTATCTGTTATTGGGAATTCTGGTGCTCGCAGTTCTATTTTATCTAGAGTCACAAATACAACGACTTGAGACGTCGCTAAATAAAATAGGTATGTTTATTTTTTGTATATTTCTAAAATACGTTGTGAATTTATTGAATTTTTCACGAAGAAAACAGAGAAAATCGCCTATTCTGATGGTGACTCTCTGTCGCCGGCTGAGTCATTGGCTGTAGCTCCAATTAGCGGTGCTGTAGACCAATCGGGGGAAGTTGTTTTTATTCTGCAAGTCCAGCAGTGGAAATAATTGGTGTCACCGTCGATGCTAATTACGTTATTCGCTGCGTACATTGCGTTTATTGTCTTCCCATCGCCGAAGTATGTAGTCGTGTATCGATTCCTGGAATGACGTACTACTCATGTTTGCCTTCAAAACCCAGATGTGTGCATCTGGTGAAATATATTTGTGTAAACACTGGAGTTGAGGTCTTCGTTTGAATACTGTAGCACTATCCCACTAGCGCTTAATGATGTTACTGCATTGTATCAGAGTAACGTTAGCCTCGCAGCGTAAACATAGATCCTATGCAGTGGCGTTACAACGTGTTTAAAATATAATCCCGTTTTAGCGTATAATGGAATGCAATTGCAAATGTTTTTGTGACTTGTAAACCGACCATCACGGACGTCAGCGTGTGTGCTAATGCTCGCTTTAGCTAAACAAAGCTGTTGTAGGTTTAGTCAAGTGGAAAATACCGAAGTGACTTGCTCATACAAGGATGACCCATTTGCTTTTACCCAGTTAGCAATTTCACAAGTCACATTAGAAGACTCACCATAATGGGAAACTAACAAAGCTTTTTAGAGGGGAGAAAAAATCGCTTTCCAGTCTAGTAACTGCACTTAGTGATGCGATGCGATATGTTGGTCGGCTCTTTAAATTAAAATTAAAATTTAACTATATTGAAATGGCTGTTCTAAATTGGTGCTTCCATGTAAACAGGATCAACACTTTAAATTGAAAAAAATATCTTGCCAGATTAATATAGTCCTGTTCTTCAACAATTTTTTATTGTATACTGTTTTGTGTGATTTTCAGCACTGTCATATTGTTCAATGATTTGAAACACCTCACTTGAATGAAATAAAATGTTGATTGCTATAAAAATGTAGGCCTGTGTATTATTTTTGAAATGTTAAAAGTTACAATATATAAAATAAATAAAATATAATTCATTGTTTTGCAGGAAAATCAGTGAATGTTAAAATGAAGTGAATATGATAAAATATAATTGAATATAATTAAATACTGTTGAATATTAATGACTTTACAGTATGGATGGATGGAGGGGATATATGCACAGCCTTCAAAACCCCTGAAATACTATAATATTGAACAATTTAGATGGTCAATGTAGCTAGCCAAGTGATGGTCAGAGTAGCCAACCAAGTGATGGTCAGAGTAGCCAGCCAAGTGATGGTCAGAGTAGCCAGCAAAGTGATGGTCAGAGTAGCCAGCCAAGTGATGGTCAGAGTAGCCAGCCAAGTGATGGTCAGAGTAGCCAGCCAAGTGATGGTCAGAGTAGCCAGCCAAGTGATGGTCAGAGTAGCCAGCCAAGTGATGGTCAGAGTAGCCAGCCAAGTGATGGTCAGAGTAGCCAGCCAAGTGATGGTCAGAGTAGCCAGCCAAGTGATGGTCAGAGTAGCCAGCCAAGTGATGGTCAGAGTAGCCAGCCAAGTGATGGTCAGAGTAGCCAGCCAAGTGATGGTCAGAGTAGCCAGCAAAGTGATGATCAGAGTAGCCAGCCAAGTGATGATCAGAGTAGCCAGCCAAGTGATGGTCAGAGTAGCCAACCAAGTGATGGTCAGAGTAGCCAACCAAGTGATGGTCAGAGTAGCCAGCCAAGTGATGGTCAGAGTAGCCAGCCAAGTGATGGTCAGAGTATCCATGACACTAATTGCTATTTTGGACAAAATGTCCTAAGCTCATTTTGTGACAATTGAATCATTCAAATGTGCTAGTATTGTGATTGGTCAGATGTTTCACATCAGTTAATTAATTATATCGAATTTAGAAAAATGAAGCAAATTGTATAAATGCATGAATAGTTGTTGTGAGAAAAGTGGAGCAGTGTAGTGACATGTTGTGTTAAATCATGGTGAAATATTATATTCAAATTTGATCCTGATATGTTTTGTAATAATTTTTATCATAAACATACTCAGCATTGAGAGGCTATGTACTCAGTTATGTGTATGCCTATATACAACTGTACGTTATTAAAAAAATGAGCAGCATTCTATTACTATCTGTTTATACAGAGTTGGTTTGTAATTGTAAACCACATGTAATATGGCAAATAATTATGAATATGTTCCCATGTAATTAAGAGCCATTATCTGGCATTTACTTAAGGAGGTTCAGTCAATTGGAAGATTATATGTCATTTTGTTTGTACATTTCCCCATATGGGTCAATGCTACATGTACTATAAAGTACTTTTTTTCGCTTGGAATTTTTTTTTCTACATTCAACTCGTCAAAAGTCAGTGAAAAAAATTTCATAGAAAGCAGCCAAAATGTATATGAGTTGCACTTAACTTTTTAACTCCGCTGTCGACTTTGCCGAGCAGAGCTTATCATATGAGTGATTGTCCGTCGGCGTCCGTCGTCCATGTCAACTTTTTAGCTACGCTGTTGACTTTGTTGAATGGAGCTTATCATACGAGTGATTGTCAGTTGTTCGTCGTCCTTGTCAACTTTTTACTTTTTCAACTTCTTGTTGAAAACTGCAAGTCCAATTGCTTTGATATTATATATATGGGTACTACATGTGGACCTCTCTCAGATTTGTTCATTTTGTAATAATATCTTCAATTTTCTAATTTTGATGAATACTTTTGTCTTTTTTTTGTAAAAAGTGATATTTTCGATTTCTTATTAAAAACCACAAGTCGATTGCTTTTATGTTATACATATACATGTACCTCAGGTAGACCTCTCTTAGATTTGTTCATATTGAGATGATATCTTCAATTATCTAATTTTGATGAATAATTTTGGTAAAAAGTGATATTTTCAAATTCTTGTTGAAAACAGCAAGTCTGATTGCTTTGATACAATCTATATTGTTCATTTTCTAATAATATCTTCTGTTCTTTAATTGAAATGTTCATTGCTAACAGCGGAGCTATCTCAGTTGACAGGCTGCTTGTTATGAAAATTGAGATATGTTATTTTATTATTAATATATCATATATAAATTTAGAATATTAATATCACACATGGAGGGTTACTAATGCACCTCATTTTGTTATGTGATTTGATTCAAAATGGCCAACTGGTGGCCATTTTTTTTTTACTTGTTCTACTGATTCACTTTATAGATTTTGTTTATATTTAATACACAGGCTCAAAAAATGGGTTGCATGTTCTCTCCAGGTATTTTTGGTTTTCGATGGAATTTGTTCGACTAGTCATAATCAAATATTACTCTTGTCTTTAAGTACAAAATATAAAATATTATGAAATTTGCTTCCAAAACTTTCAGCTCAAAGATTTCTAATACTTGCTGGAATTAATATTTTATCTTCAAAATTCCTGTCATTCCAAAAGCTTTGAACTTGATAATGGTTTTGTAATGCTGTATCAGGGGAAATGTAGTCCGCTTAGTATTCATGAAATATAAACAGTGCTTCCATCATAGTGTCATTAGATTAATGAAAAATAAAAAAAAAAACATTTAAATAATGCAAAATAATATAAAGCTATATCTTAGTGTGCAGAGGAGCCTTTTTCCAGACTAGTGTGAACAGAAAGTATCATTCTCGCTTGTTTTGTGGCTTACATCATTTTTTTCTAATATTACCATTTTTAATCAATAGTTTTGTTCTCATGAGGTATTATAGTTTACACAAGAATCGGTAAAGTCATTGAAATTTATGTAAATAAACTATGTATTTTGTTTTTCGAATATTAATTATTTTTAAAGTAAACCGAAGGAAAATTACTTTCTGATAGTTTAATTACTCTATATTTAGAGTATTTATCATGTGTTATATTTATAAATTTAGAAGTGAAATAATTAGTTAAATTTTATTTTATTTATAAATTAGTTATTTCAAATTAGCGAATAGTTAATGCAAGTTGCAATTATTAATTTCTTGATTACATTAATCAGGTCAAACAAAATATCTTTTATTTTTTATGGTAACCGGAACCCTACCTTCCTGTATTTTGTAAGCAAATGACTCTAATTTATTCATTTCTATGCAAATTAGCTATGGTCATTCAACCAATGTTGTAATTTTTTATTTCATTTACTTCCTTCTTTGTAGTGAAAATCTAGCACTTAGTCATATAAAGGAAATTATTCTGGAAACTAACTTAGATGTCATTTCCCCTCTTTTTTATGTCATAGTTTTTTTTAGACCATTACCGGAAATGCCAGATTTGTTTTATTTTGCCTCAGTGCCTATCTTTCCTACAGAGTGAGTAACACCAGACTAGGGACCACAGCTGTTGACCATGCTGATGACCACAGCTGTTGACCATGCTGATGACCACAGCTGAAGACAGATGTTTTGTTTTCGTACTAAAAAATATGTATTAGAAAATGGCACTGCAACAAAGTGGAACTATTTCCATTGGAACATCTACACATGACAAATGATAAATTTTATTTGGGTTGTATGTGGCTTCTAATATAGATTTTACAGTAATCTTACAAGTAAATTTTGTATCATGTTAAACTACTGATGTAGTATTTCAATTTCAATTACCTTGCTTGTTGATATACCAATAAAATATACCACAGTACTGGTAAAATAAATTACCAGTATCGTACTGTTATTTTACATGGTGTAATTTCTATAACTTGATATCGAGAATCAAACCTGTGGGAAGTATGTGCATGATGGGAAAGTATAAGATGTTTAATATATTCATGCAACTAATTTGATGTATTTCCATATGTATTCATATTATAATTGGACTGATAACTTGATTGTAGTCTGAATTGCTATTGAAGCTGTGTATAAAACCTCTGACCTTTCATTGACACGTGACCTAGACCCACGTTTACACAGCCACTATAATTTTTGACATTTTTAAACTCATACAAAAAATATAATCATTGAATACATTTACTGGTCGAACTTTTGAGTTGAAACTTTTTCATTATTTCAGAAATTTTAAGAAAAAAAATGTTGGTGAGTTTATGTTGTTCAAAGGGTTTTGCTTTGTACTCTCAGTCAGTACTCGGGTGTTTATTCGTATCAGCCCATGTGCATATCCATGAAGGGTGGCAATACCATTGTGAAGTCTCAATAGAGATGAGACCTCTGTGCACATACATGAGCAATAAGAAGGTTTGGCATGTCTTACAGCGTTACCAGACATGTACACAAACAAATTGAAAGGATCTTTTTTTTGTATCTTGCGCAACACAGACACATGCAGCACACAATTTGTGCTTCAAACCATTGAATTGTCAATCTGTTTTTAATTAGGAATTCTCTGCAAACTGATCCATAGGGCTGATCAAAAAAACATTAATAAGGTTACTGCATCTTATATGTGTATAGCAATTAATTCACTTTGTTTGTGTTATCAGAAACACCATAAAACTTGACCTGAGACAGTATAAAAAGTTGAAAAGCTAAATAATCCTGAAGAGCAGATTCCAGTTTATCATTAATGACCATGTGTAATATTCTTTTACTTCACATTTCATTAATTAAATAATCTGTGTGATGTAAATGCCTTGTGGGGGATGGATGTCATTGCTATTGCCCGACATGACTTCATTGCTATTGTGTGCTCCATCTGACTTCATTGCTACTGCCCCATCTGACTTCATTGCTACTGCCCCATCTGACTTCATTGCTACTGCCCCATCTGACTTCATTGCTATTGCCCCATCTGACTTCATTGCTATTGCCCCATCTGACTTCATTGCTATTGCCCCATCTGACTTCATTGCTACTGCCCCATCTGACTTCATTGCTACTGCCCCATCTGACTTCATTGCTACTGCCCCATCTGACTTCATTGCTACTGCCCCATCTGACTTCATTGCTACTGCCCCATCTGACTTCATTGCTACATTGCTATTGCCCCATCTGACTTCTTCATTGATGGCCTTTAACATTTTCTAATATTTCCTTTAAGTAGCCATTTTCACAAATGTTGGCTTTAAAATTGCTTAAAACCAAAAATTATCTCATTAATTCAGTCTGATTATATGGTATTATATTATATATTATGATTATATAACTTTTCGCAAAAAATAGAGGCATGCTTGTAGACTGAGATGTCTAAATTAAACTAACATGGGCAATAAAATTGGATAATTTTAAAAATTGATGGCATTTGTTGACGCCTTACTGATACATGTACATCAAAAGCAATCTTTCAAGGTAGCAGGTAATCAAAATGAGTGGTATAGATTCATACCAATGTCTTCATTCATAAACGGTTAGATTACTGTCTCCAACTATTGGCATAGGCTGGATATAAACACAATAGAAAGCAAGGTGAAGGATAAATTAAAACAATTAAGAATATTAACATAACACATGTGACTGTGTTATAAAAAACACTTCTTACAAACTAATGTTTTCCAATTTTCTAACTAATTTCACTAATTATAAAGTTATTATCCTTATTAGGTTAACTCTGACCTTTATAAATACCTTGATAAGAGAGTAATACATCATGTGTAAAAAGATGCTCCTGTCTTGTCTATGTTTGTTTTTAAGACCACCCCTGAAGTATGGAGTCAAATGTTGTCCACAACTGGTCATCATTATTCAAGTTTCAAGATATACACCCTTTTTGTCAGGTATCCCTGAAATATGGAGTCAAATGTTGCCCACAACTGGTCATCATTATTCAAGTTTCAAGATATACACCCTTTTTGTCAGGTATCCCTGAAATATGGAGTCAAATGTTGTCCACAACTGGTCATCATTATTCAAGTTTCAAGATATACACCCTTTTTGTCAGGTATCCCTGAAGTATGGAGTCAAATGTTGTCGACAACTGGTCATCATTATTCAAGTTTCAAGATATACACCCTTTTTGTCAGGTATCCCTGAAATATGGAGTCAAATGTTGCCCACAACTGGTCATCATTATTCAAGTTTCAAGATATACACCCTTTTTGTCAGGTATCCCTGAAATATGGAGTCAAATGTTGCCTACAACTGGTCATCATTATTCAAAGTTTCAAGATATACACCCTTTTTGTCAGGTATTCCTGAAATATGGAGTCAAATGTTGCCTACAACTGGTCATCATTATTCAAGTTTCAAGATATACACCCTTTTTGTCAGGTATCCCTGAAGTATGGAGTCAAATGTTGTCGACAACTGGTCATCATTATTCAAGTTTCAAGATATACACCTTTTTTGTCAGGTATTCTTGAAGTATTCATGTATATCATAGCAGCAATCTTCCTTGCAGTGTTTAGATGCACTGATACGATAGAAATAGCTGTAGGGTCAGATCCCAGCACACTGACATTAGACAGTCTTAATTCTTTAATCAAGTATGACTAGTGTTGGATTTCATGAGGCTCTACATCACAATGCCAGCACATTCCTTTTTTTTTATGTAAATCAATTCTCTGCTGTATCATGTAGTCACAAACAGTATAAAGAGTGATAATTATTTTATATTATTGCAGACTATTGTGAATGTATTATTTATTCCCTGAATTTCAAACCCAGTAAATATGCTCTAAAAATATCAGTGAAATTATTGTTATAGTTTT